CAATCTAAATGTTTAGATTCAAATCTAAACTTTGCTGATAATTTATAATCGATTAAATTCTGGAAGTTTCAAAACTTATACTTTTAAAATTAGATATTACAAATCGTTATCGAGTCAAAAATTAAAAAAAAAAAGGACAGAAACAAGACAGAAGAAACAATCTTTTGTAACATATTTAGAAAATATGCTATTAACGTGAAACAATTTATCTGACAGATATATGAGTTATTGTTAATAATCAGAGAGATATACGGTACATCAGTATAGAATATTTCACACGCTGTTCCGCAAACAACTGATTTAGATGGTGTACGTGAGCATCGTGCGAGATGAAAACGGGCCGCATCGAAATTAGCATGAGAAAACGTTCTGAAGCGAGATTGAAATGTGCGGTCCAACGAGCATAAGTCAATGTGACAAGGAGGAAGATGGAAGATGGTGTCTAGAAATGTCATGTAGACTATCTTTTTATCGAGTTAATATTTAAAATATACTATACATGTACTATGTATATTTATTCATCAATATTTTCAAAATGTAAAATATATAAAAGAAGAAAATAATAATTTAAAATGCAATTACATAAAATAATTGAGAACAATAAAGATTAATGATAAACATCATATTTCTGGTAAACTTTAAATGGAAATGTCTAATCATCATAAAATGAAATATTGCATAACTGATTTTTATTATATTCAAATAATTCTATCATCATTTCATGTTATGTTAAGTTAAAATAAGAAACAAGAAATTGGAGAAATCGGACTTTACTAGAAGATTTTATTCTTAAAATAGATTAATTCAATGTGCCATTATAAAAATAATTCGCGAAGTCTTTCTAGTAGATATTGATTGATAATATCATTTTTTTTTTAAATATATATATTGATTATGTTAAACAAATGATTTAAAATGTTCGATGACTAAATTGTTAATGATTAATGATTATATTAAAAATAACAATTCTGAAAATTCTGAAAATTTATTAAATTTATAAAATTATACGTACTCTGTATATTAAATATTTAATATAAATACGATTATAATTATTTTAAAAATGTATTTCATTCGATTTTTCTCGCTTGGCTTAATCATATGTTTCAACCTGAGCGATAATAATTGATACCAACTATTTTTCTAATATATTTTTTAACAATATATTATCTGGAACGGCACAATTAATATAAAATGTTACCAGCTAGAAAATCAATTATGATTTATGACTCAATTCTATTGACTTATTATCACAATCGGTTATGTTACTTCCGAGGCATTGGGTACGAACAATCGAGATCTAATCAAAGTCAAATAATTGGAAGAGGTTCGACCGATTTCTTCGCAGAAAGAAGTCTCCTGTAGTGAAGACGAATAATACAAGTAGTGACTTATCTAACATGGATGTATGTATCACGTGTACTATGTCAGTAATGGCAGAATACATCATACGAAATGTGAGATGCTCGTTAGTCTCGTTCCAGGTGGCTCGTTATCGTTGGTTCCAGTGTGTCAAGTATCACATAAGTTAGCCTCAACGTGTGACACTCGTGTAATGCCTGTAAAAGCAGAATTATAAAAGAAAAAAAAAAAGAAAAGCAAGGGATAAAGAAGAACAGATAGGAGTGAAAAACAGATTCATTCGATGAATGATCCATTGACGTGACCCGTTTTTTCAAAACTGCAAATCAATCCGGATGCATCTCAAAAAGATATCTTGTTTCTCGTGTGCACGATCGATGAACAAATATTATACAGTAGATAATGATTTAATATTGACTAAAATAATAGCAGTGGTTTTTTAAAAATTCATATTTTTTTTAATTTTTCAAAAGATAATTTATACAACAAAGAATTAAATTTATTGAATTTTATTTATTATTCAAATGAAAAATTTTTTTTATCGCTGAATTATTTTAAAAATTGTAAAAATTGATTAGCCATTCTGATCGAACAAATTGTAAAATTGTTAAGCGATGTAGTAATTGAAGAGGACATACTTAACTGAAAGGAATATAATATGCATAAAAAAGATTAAATTCCGGAAGGTCGCGTTTCAGGCAAAAATGTTTAACGTGGAATTAGCAGAATAGAAACGCGGCTATAATCTTGCCCTTGCGATGAGATTATGGTAATACAACTCGTTTGCTGCTCGACGTATAGTGACATTTAGATTTAGTTGCCTTTTAGCGGCAACAGGCTGAAAATGATAGAAACAAATGAATATTATATACTTTGGAAAATAATGTTCTTGAAATTTGAAATATTCTTTTCATGATATACGGATACTTACCCAACTGCCATATTTATATAAAGGATTTGATATGATATAATTCTGGTAATAATCGATGTACTGGTACGATGGAATGTCATGAATCTGTTTCTCATCTTTGAAATAAATCTTCCGGTTGTCTGAATAATTACTCGTAACAATGAAAATCTGTGGAAAGAGGATATTTCATATAATTATAGTAAGAGGAGAATAATGTATTATTTAATGTTGTTTATTTTAAACAACATTAAATAATAAATTAAAAATTTAATTTTAAAATTTAAATTTACAAGAGGAAAATCTTCAAATGTTTATTGTTATTATTTCAATCGAAAAAGAAAATTCAGAAGATATTGCAAATGGTATTATGATAATCGGTAATCTGCGACTGCATGTTTCAGAACAAGAAACAAATAGCTGTACATGACATTTACATAATTTTAAATTAAGTTTATGGAATCATTCAATTGTCTAATTTTTAGCACATTGTGCGCTATTTATCTTTATATTTTGTAATATTATCTAATACGAATGGTATATGTTGAAAACATTATTTTTTATCGCTTTCTCAAATAAAACTCAAATATTAAAATTTTTGCATTTATTTATGTTTTCGACTTTTAAATAAATAAATTCTGCATTAACAATTAATCAATTAGTTTAATTTTCATGTTCAATATTAAGGATCAGGCTTTTTACAATGATATTACAAATTGTAAAATAACATATAAAATTATCGATTCTAAAAAATGTATAATATAAAAAAATAATAAAAAAAACTATGATTTTTTTCTAAGATAACACGATACATTTTAAAATTATTTGGAATTACATTTATTATTGTACTGTTAATGTTAATTTATAAATTGTCAGATAATAAAACTATTTGCGATAGAAATTTAATTAATGGTTTACGAATACATGTTACTCGTTTCATTTTAAAAAAAATTTTTCGTCATTAACCGGCAAGTTTATACATTCTTCGAATCAAAGATACTTTATTATAACTTCGAAACATTTTTCATATCTTTTTTTTTTGTCTGACTCATTAATTCACAATATTATATATAGAAATAATTTGAAATTTTCCAGAAACTGGAAGTTTATTTGTCAATGTTCATTCAATGGTAAAGAAATGATATGTATTTATGTTATAATTATGCTTTATAGTATCCAATTATAATACTATATAATGTATGATTTTTCTATAAAGAATCTCACGTGCTAGCAATTAAACATTTTTATAATAAATGCGATCCACTTGTATTCAGTATATCGAACATAGAAAACAAACACATTCAAGATATTTGTGCTGATTAGATTATTTCTAAAACTTAATAAAAAAGAACTTCCGCTGAAAATTTATCATTTTTACTTATATCATTTTGATTATAATCATCTATTAGATAAATATATATTAAATATATATTAAATATTGATAGTTATATCTAATATTATAAATGTGAATATTATATTAGAAAGAATCTTTATTTTCAGTTGGACATTAATTTTTTATTACATCCATATTTTTCTCTTATGTTTTTTTAAAAATGGAAATGTTTTTATGCATCTTGTATATTTAATTTGTAATTTTAATTTGTTGTGTATACATATATATATATGTATCTTTCATATATAAAAATAAAATTCACAATGTTTTTACTCGTGACTAATTATTATTCTTAAATCGAGTATAAATAGTAAATTCACACGAAATTAAAAATTAGTAAATATTCGATGATAATGTAAATTAAATAAATAGTTTAACGACCTCGAAAGTTAAATAACTTCACAAATGATTGATATCTTATTTTCCCAGAAAGAGCCAACACGTATCACTTCAAAAATACACATTTCTTCATAAAACACCTCCGAAAAAATCAGAATTGAAATCATACTTATTAATTCAAAAAATCTTATAAATTTCTACTCGAATCAAGTTTTAAATGATCAAAAAACTCGATGTAAATATTCATCATCATCGTTCTTGTTATTACCTAAAACACAAAAAGAAAATGATAAAGTCACGTCTTTAAATCACGTTTCTTATATCAAAATATCAAAAACTTTTATCGGAGTTAAGTCTAAACAGTCAAGAAACCCGTTTGCAACGGTAGTTTTTGCACAGGTCGGCTGATGTTTGCGAACTGCAATCCGCATCGCGGGAACACGTGTACAGGGACGTGGTACAGAAAAGACGAAAGAGCGATAGAGAGAGGGAATGAACGAGCGGCGGGGCGGTTTCGAGAAGAAGAGGATTTCAAGCTGTTCCATCGAGAGTGAGCGAGCGAGAAGACGGACCGTCCCACGACGGGTTCGTGGTGGGGTGTCAGTTGCGGCTTATCTGGCGACTTTATGTATATTACGATGCCCAAGGCAGGAACACGAGCAGTTCACTGCTGGCTAACTGGTCGGAGAAGTCGGTAAAGCCGAGTCTGAGCCCGACGGCCCGGTTCATCGAGAGAAACGTGTTCGAGAACTAGCGACGCCGAATTAAGACTTTCGACGCACGTTACATACACTACGGATATACAGATATATCTATATACATACTATATAAATACATATATAAACATATATATATTTATATATTTATATACATATATACACATTTAGGAAGAAAACATTAATTTGGAATACCAATCAAATTATTACGGATACATACACGCGTATATACCGGTTAGGTGCGCGAAATCATAAGCGTAGTGGAAGTCTGGGTGATCCGAAATTTGGCAAGTTGACCAACTCGCTATCAATACTTCTCAGTGATCACTACGATCCAGGATGATTGTCCTCGCGTGGTCTTTGTTCGTGCTGGTCTCGTTACTCGTCGCCACTAATCAAGCCTTTCTTGCTGCTCCTGCACCAGGTATAGACATGTGATTATTTTCTCTTCTTTCTGTTTATTTTTTTTTTATTTTATTTAAAATCATTCTTTGCGTTTAAAGTGAAAATAATGGTGAACCGTTACTTCGTCACGTGATTTCGTTTATCGATACGATCGAGAAATTTTGGATATATCGATAAAGTGACTTTCGAATAGTTTGACAAGAAATCGATGTAAGGAAACAGTCAACGTTCTCACATGGTATTTCCGGCTGTATTTCCGTGTTGACGAGAAATTGGCTCACATGTTTTTAACCTCGCTCGTAACACAGAGAGGCGAAAACTTGTTTCAATAGAAGTTTCTGGTAAACGGTGTGACTTTCTCGCGTGTTTGATAAGACAGCGAGTGTAAACAGTGATCGGCGAGACCCGGGTCTGTTCGGCTTTCACCCGAAGACCCACGCGGATTCGTACGGTTTCGTGAATGAATCGCGACTACGATTTCGTGATGCGTGGTTCGACCGTGTGTTTCGGTGTGTCATCGTTAATCCTCTATAAATAGGATTTCACCTACTTATGAGAAATATAGGTTAGTAATTAATTTTAGATCAGTTTTTAATTTCAGATTAGTTTTCATTTTAAACTTTTTTTATGAACAAACTGTTTGTCATCAATATTATAAAATATAAGATATATATATAGATAATATAATAATAAGATAAATATATATATAATTTTTAAATGATATGATAATATAGAAAATTAACAATTAATTGCCTTTAGTAACTTCATTTTGTCTGTAATATTGAAAAATTATTATTTATTTTAACACAACTTCCATTAATTTTGACATTGTCATATAACCTCTATAGTTATAATTATATAAGGTATAATAACTGATATTATGTTGAAAATTTATGAAAATTTAATTAAATTTAAAAACAAAAGAAAGAGGAAATAAAACTATTTGAAAAATTAAATCAATATTATCGTTCTTTCATTATTATCGTAATATTTAATCATATTAAATATAATCGATTAGATATTTGTTAAAAAGGAAAATCTGATAAATTTTATTCAAATATACAATTAATTCTACACATAATTTAATTAAAATATTAAGTTTAGATATTAAGTTTTTAATTGAAATATTTCTTCATAGTTTATAAAATAGTAAACTATTTAACATAATTACAGAAATGTACGATTTCGATTTCGTCTTTTCAGTCATGTTGTTCTCAGATCATCTCTTCAAGATCATATTGAAGATCACATTATACATTACGTTTTCATTATGCTTTCACGATATCAATCATTATCACTTTTAAGACATTTTCGTTGTCTAGCTTGAAAAGATTGTAGCAAAGACGAAGAAAATACGTGACTTCGCTACAATCTCTGATGAGATTGCACGAATAATCGGTCATATCATGATTGATTACGAGTACGATTGAATATCTTTTTATTATTGATTATATACTTGAATATTTATATTCTTTGTAATCAAATTTATTCCAATTTATTCTTTTGTGTTTAACATATCAGAAAAGAATTAGGATTTTTATTAAACATTAAGGAGAATTTTTTTAATGAGCTAAATATAAATTTATTTGTATACTAAAACATTTAATAAATGATTAAAAATATTTTGTCATTATTTTATTTAATATAGATTTGATAGAATAATGTTTCAATTTTCAAATCTTTTCGTTCAAATCAATTAATTTCCGAATATAATACATTGATTTTTGAAAAATACTTTTTTTTAATATTTGAAGATACCAATTACATTTATTTTTATCATTTGCATGATAAAGCGAAAATTTAAAATAAATCGACTTTTGTATAAATTATAAACAGAAGAAATTAAGAAGTTAATTTTAACTTTAAAAAAAAATTTAATAATTTTTTATATATTATTTATGGATTTTTTTCTATCTGTATTTAACCTCTAAATAAAAATTTTTCATTGTTTAAAATGAACATAATATAAAATAATTTGATCCAAATATTGAATAAAAATAAAATAATGTAAATAAAAAAATTGCATTATTAGTAATTAATCTTTTTTGAAATAAAATTATTTGTTTCTTAAAATTACAGTTTATTACAGTTCCGGCACTTAAAAACGGAAAACGAAATAGAAATTTGATAGATTATTAATAAAGTGTCAGTCAAATAGAAAAATAAAATCGTTTATATAATTGAAAAATAATAAATATCATGATACGTTCCTTAAATCTTTTGTTAGAAAAAAGACATAAGATAAAAAAATGCTGCAATTTCAAATATATAATGAAAAACAAAAAATATAAGATGTAAATTATGAGCCATGTGAACATCATGAATTTCCATTTTTAACTTTTGATATTTCTTTTTTAATGTTGTTATTACTTTAAATAAAATAAAAGAATTAAAAAAAAATATTATTTTATAATATTATTTTCTGCAATATTGCAAAAAAAACTTTGAAAAAGAAGTGAAACTTGCGAATTACGTAGATAGTTTGAACGTCACAAGTTTTCACAGCAAAAACCAAACATTTCTTAAAACTTTTGTCATGTTTTAACATACTCTTCTCTAAAAGATCTACGAAAATAAGCAAAATAATTTTAGATAAAATAAAATCTATAGGAGATATAAAATATTTTAACAATATAATTTTACAAAACGCGATGAAAAGATTTATAAAGAAAAATTTATTCGATATAAGTGAACAATGTATAAATTATATTAATAATGAACTTTTTAGAAATATTATCTTCTTAATTTATTTAAATTATTTTAAATTTACGATAGAAATTAAGTTCATTTTAATTCAAAGTGGACTTGATTTCATTATTTTATTAATGAAATAACACGAATAAATTTTGATCAACTATTTTTTTTTTATTGTAATCGTCACAAATAACTGAAAAATTATATATAGGATATTTATAATTTTTTTTTTAAAACATATTGGAAATTTTTTGAAATATTCCAAATTTTTATATTTTTATCTTCTTGGAAAAATTCCTCTTCTTTCAAAATCCATTTTCAAGAAAATGAAAGGAAGAAATTAGAATCATATCGCTAATAGATTATATCGCTCTCTTAATAGATAATTAAAACTTATATCAATTTAATTCTATTAATACCTTGTAATCATTTTCCTCAAATTAAAATAAAGGAGACATCACGTATACCAAAAATAATTCTTTTTTGATTTTAGAAAAATCAAGAATAAAAACAATACATATCACGTTCTATCATTTTCGTGTAAAACGTGGATTGACCAAACGTCATTCCCCAATCTACTTCACAAAACACTCGACACTCGACGAGAACATTCCCATTGCGCAAACATAAATATCAAAGCAAGCAAAATCAAAGTGCATTTCGGACGGAATTTTTGTTAGGAAAGTGAAAATCGTGAGCGTGAATGCGTCTTTCGCTTGTTTTAAAAATCAAATGTATGGTTCGATAGAAGCAAACAGGTTCAACATTTGTTCGTTAATTATAGAACACACGAATAAAGAAAATGAACAGAAAAAAAAATAATAATTTTCGAAAGTCTTACATCTATAAATACGATTATACATATATTGTATTGGCATACTGATAATATCGGTGCTCTTCATGCCAACCGATTAAATTTCTCTGTGATACATATGAAATGCACATATGAATGCTTTCTAGATGAATGATGTTTTTTTCATAATGTGCAATTGTTACACTTTTATGTATTCTTATACACAGAATATAAAAAAATCTCTTAATATTCGTTCTCAATATTCATAATTATTGAATTATTTCATTCTTACGCTATATGAACGATATCAATTGTACATTTCGATTTATACGAGCCTATTTGTGTAATTCCTTTTCTAGTCTAATCATTTCAATCGTCAATGATTTTTATCCGAGTAAAATTTCATCTAAGCTAAGACGTTTATCTAGTTGATCTTACATGAATGACAGAATGACGAGAGAGAGTCATGAATTTGATTTTACACACGTTAATTACACGTACACATAGGTTTGGCGGGTAGTAGTTAAATACCCTGGCCCGATCGATTCGTTTACCTTAATTGTCGCTGGTTATCCGTTAATGAGTCTGTCAGCCTTATTGGCAGATTGCCAGTGGCCCTTTTAAACCCGCCAGCAAGCTTCGTCGATTGGATATTGTGGTGAATTGCTGCAGCTGCAGAAAAGGCTTGCATGTGCGCTTGCATACCTAAGGCGGGTTCGGCCTGGCCTATGTATCGGGGCCAGAAACAATAAATATCGAAGTCGCTAGGGCATGATAAATGGCAAAAAGTATATAACCTAGAAAGGGATGCTTTCGATTCTTTCGACTTTTTTTCTTTTTTTTTTTTTTTTTTCTTTAGCTTCTTTCGATTTTAGTCAAGATTTGTGTGATTTGTTTAATTTTGGTAAAATAATTTGCGGCGAGTTTGGATGAAATTAATTAAAATTGTAGTTAGTAATTAGCCACCAGTTTATTGTTATTTTTCATATAGTATAATATTTATTTGTATACATCTTGTGACGCATAGGGTGCTCTATAATTGATAGAAAAAAAAAAAAAAAAATTAAAGAGATAGAATAGCCGTACATTGATCTATACACAGAGATCTTCCGCTACACAGAGAGTCGATGTCCTCAACTTCCGTATTGGTCAATGATCTACACTGAACGAGGTTTGACCACGTCCAAACAAGACGATTTACGTTCGACGTTACGATCGACTGCTTGATAACGCGAATTAGTCACAGGTCCGATTAATCGACGACAAATCAACCGGTGTAGGATAATCTGTTCAATTATTTTAGACCATATATGGCAATGCACGTCACACTGTGACCGCAAAATCATCCATGAAAAATCAAGAAAAGAGCGATGATCATTGGAATAATGTGATCGTGTCATTCATTTTTCTATTTTGCTTATATATCCTTTCACGAAAGTGATTATTTTTTAATTACTATAAATTTCATTCATATGTATTTTAATCATGTATTATTATAATGTATATATTATAATTTTGATAATTTATTATTATATTGAATCCTTTTAAGATACAAACTTAACCATCAATTTCATGTGGATTGTTGTGCATTCTGATTTGAAAAAACAAAATTACAAAATATTAAGAAATCCAATTTTAAAAAGAAGCCAAAGAAATAACGAAATGATAAAAGTCAAAAAAAAATATTAACATTCCTCACAAATCATCTTGACTAAATTAAAAATCTTATTGGCGCCAATAACACCAATAATAATTTTAATTAAAACATGATTTGCTTTAGAATGTGTTATTCACAGATGTTTTTCTCGATTTCAACATGAATCAATGTACATAAATAGTCAATGTTAGCAAGAATTCATTAACAGAATTCTTATGCGATGACGATTTTTATATGTTAAATATAATTTTATTGTCTCCTTCATTTTACAATAAATAAAATTAAGAAATTAAAATTATAAAGTTAGTAATTTAATTATTGCAGTCATTTACGATCCAATGATATTAATTGAGGATTAATTTAAGAATTTAATTTTAATTGAATTAATGAATTTTTTAATAGCCTGACAATTTTATGTATC